CAATATTGCGTGTCTCCTGCTGTGAGCAATATGCCAACTACCACCTGTAATGCACGAGTGATGCCAGACGCTTCAGTACTTTAGCAGTCAGCTACACAGTGACTTTCTTCTCAGAAATCCCTTGCTTTATAAAGTTCGTTCCATTACCTACCCTGGTCCTCTCTGGGAATTAGAGGACTAAGAACTCTACGAGCTCAGTGCAATTCCACAGTGGTATCCTGAGAATACGTGTAATTTTGGTTCAATGTGGAACTGTTTTGCCACCATCAGTGCTCTAAAATCAGCTGTTACCACAATATCCATGAAATATTGATAGTAACAGCAACTTATCTATTTCTGCAATAATTAAGAGAGACTATTTTTATATACGTATACAAGCATATATATTTTAAGAAGTAACAAAGCACACTTATACTTCAGCTAACAAAATGGACTCAGTAACACTCTTGCTGGAGTTCTGTTTCTAATAATTATTATGCACAACTAGCAGCAAAAAATATTGCCTGCATCTCCTAGCTTCCTAACAGGGAAAGAGCTATGTGTGCAAGAGAAAAGTAAAAAATAATAAGTAAGATCAGAACCGAACTGTTAAAACAAAATCTGCATTGCCTTGGACATCCAGGTTCACTTATGTAATATGAAGCATTCATAGACACTTGTTCCTGAAACTATAACCTGCACATTATATGAAAGCAGAGACTTGCAAGCAGTGAATGTTTCCCATACTGTAAAATATTTGGATTGGTTAACAGCACCTAACTGTAAACAACCAGTTAACATTGTACTAGGAACACAGAATGGGTGCCTATCGTTTCTAAAATAATGCCTGAGTTGTCCAAGCTATTTCTTGTCATTTTTAACTGTAAAGCTCCAGTGTGACAGTGTCTAGACGATATAAGGTCATATGATGTATATCTAACACATTATTTTAAAAAAAAAAAGCCTGTTTAGCTGCTCAGGTTTAAAGGACGTCACATGAAGTTATTAATTCTATATATTATATGTGGTGGAATGGTTAAACGCTTCACAAAACAGTGATGAGTATGAAATAGTTCCACATACGACTATCTCTCTACAGCTCCCTCATGCACCGAGTCAGCAGTTCACAGCTGTTCTCGGTCCATACACACAGGGCCAAGGGGGCTCTACAGAGAGCTCTGCACAGCCACGGCCCAGTGCCTCCTCTCAGGCTAAGGAGCACTTTCCTGGCACGGACATGAAAACAGCAGAACTTTGCCCACAGGCTGCACAGCTGCCGCCAATGATGCTATGGTCATTTGCAGGCAAAGCAAAGATGGTTTGAATTTAAATTCTGGTAGGTTTGAATTACATTTTTAAATTGTCCCCAGCACTCTCAGCAGCTCAGTCCTGGGCTAATCTACACCTGGCAGGAGGGTATCTTTAAATAACAGCACTTGATTTTAATTTTATATAAAGAGTGTCAGAGTTTGATTCTACCATGCCTCCCCTTTCTGCAGCAACCCTTCCTGCTCTCCATCCCTTCCAATCCCATCAATGGGTGGCTGGGAAAGCAGCACAAGGGGAGGAAAGGCACTTCAGAGTAGAGGATGGCAGAGCTACTGCTGCAGGCAAGCCTTTACCCTATACAAAAAAAAAAAAAAAAAAAAGTCTTCAAAGCAGTTTCTGATGCCCATAAATTCTCAAGATACTGCTTACATGGTGCCTGGAGGAACTGGGCCTGATACAAAGGAGCAGATGTCACCTGACCAATTTGACTAAAACTCCTTGACCCGGGGATATCTCAGACTATAGAGGACCAGGCGTCCCATCACTTAAAATATACACACCAAGTTCTAGCATCACCATATCAAACTATTAACTTTGTTATGTTGCAGTGTTGTTTACAGGCCCCATTCAGTATCAGGGCTTCATTTTGCCATTGTTGTATATGTGACAACCACTACGTTGCAATCAAATATGCAACAGGCTAAGCAGACAGCAAAGAGAAAATGGAATTAATCTCCGGTATTTTCATTTGACACAGGACTTAATTTAATTGAGCAAGATCACTTGAAAGGTCTGTGGTAAAGCCAACAACTGAATAAGCATCAGTCACCCATAGTCTGCTGTTCTGCAGCACCTTTTATCTAAAGGCTTCTAAGTATTCCAAACATACGACAACAGAAGCGAAACAGAAAAAAAGCAAAGCAAAATTTGCTTCAAACAGAAGCAAAACAGAAAAAGCAAGTTTCAACCACTTAAACTTAGCTGATTTCTGTCTCAAACCACACAGTGTCCTACAGGTATAATTAATTTATCTCAGTACACATAGTGAAATACTTTAAGATGCAAGTTTGTAAGGAAATCTCAAAACATGCAAAACAAATCTTGAAAGCTCTCAGTTTTGTTTTGAAAGTGTTCCTCAGCTCTTCAGTCCCTCTATTCTGTGAGCTGTGTGCTTACCTGAATCACAGAATGGCAAGGGTTGGAAGGGACCTCAGGAGATCATCTAGTCCAACTCTCCTGCCAAAGGATAGGTTGACTGCATGTTTACATCTTAAAATTGCCATAGGATGAAGCGATGAATGTAATTTTCCAACACTGTAAAAGAAATTTAGAATATGAGTGGAATTCATAACTTCATTTGATGTCTACAGTACTGTCTGGTGCCACAGAGCTATGGTCTTAAGAATGCATCCATAATACATAAGAACAGGTGATGGGTTATTCTGGGTTTGTTCAAAGATCTACCCCAACCTTTTATTGTTTTCATATATATATTTACAACACCAGCACACACAGCATTTATATTGACTTTAATATGGCCAAAATAAGAATTTATCTCTGATCCCTCTCTGCATGCAGCTTCACTTAAGCTATACTCCAAGGATATCATATCTTCATGCAAATGTATTGTGCAGCCTTTTC